GATTATTAATGCGTTCATTTATATATACCTAATGGTGTTCGGAAGTAAATGGATATATTTATGTATAAATATGTGCATTTCTATTTCTGCATTTTAACACGACAAGAAATGGTATTGCTGCTGCTTTATTCTATGCATGCTTATAAGCTTATGCAGGAATACATCTGTACACTTAATGTGGTAGCACAGCTAATCAACATCATGCGGTATAACAAGGCGATACGTTATTATTCTTCGCTGAACCTGTCTAATGCAATTTCCCGTAACTGAACGTTACTGTGCCAAATTGAACGTCCTTTTCAACTTAGGGATCTATTTGTTCTTTTCCATATGTGCTTGAATAAATAACTAATTAGGTGCTTGCTAGTTATCATGGAGGTTAACACTTATCTGTACTTGTATATCTCAAAGTGTCCCGAATAGAAGAAGTAGGTTACGCATTTCACGAATAAGATAATGCACTTCTTATTAATAACACAAAGGAAAATTTATCAGGTGCAGTATATGCAGCAATTCAATGAAGCGTAACTAATAATAGGATAAAAAAGGAAAAAAGGAAGGAAAGCACTTAATAGGGTTGACAGGATTTCATAGTGGTATCCAACATAGATATATATGTTGCTTTATGTGCCTGCCACGGTGACGGGTGCATTTTTTAGGCTATCTGATTGCCACATAGGTGGCATTCGTTTTTGCCTTCAACGGGACTCTATTGTTGGCTGCATGAGCGATGCATGGAAAAGTATTATAGGTTCTACGGCAGTGATGTCATAATGGTCATTAAAGAAGTATCCGTAGTTGGCTTCACTGCGGTAAAGGAATGCCGCTTGGTACGCCTGCGTATGTTTCAAGGGAAACCTGAATATGGTCTACAGCTGCATTTCTGTACTCGACTCCAGGGGCCTACTTGGACGGCCTTCACTTAGCTCATGTTTGTCTCATGATATTTGCAACAATATAGGCATTAAGAAAGCCTCACCTACTAACTGCACACGTCTTGAAGGCTTGTTTTTAGTGATGCTATATTGGTCGCGGATCATTGATGTCCTTATGGACACTGTCATATCCGCTACTGTTGGAACTATAGTCCATACATACGGGCGTTTACTAAGCTCATAATGGCCCCGCAGCGGTGGTACGAGAAGCACCGCTGATGAATCAAATAAGACTGAACCTGCAGCCCTATGAATGGTTTTACCTGCGCCCAGGACAGGGGCGTTATGTTTGCCACTTAGGCATTGGCAAGGCTTTGCGTCATACGGTTTCATGACTGATACTAAATAAGTATGTATGTCTCACGGCGGTGGCATCATAATCGGCACGGAGGTGGGCTCCACTATAAGCCCCGCGGGCCTGCATAAGCAGTACTTATGAAGGGTATATAGGCCGCGTAGCATGCATTATTGGTGGTACGAGAGAAACCACTGTGGTAGCCTTAGGCGGTGCGCCAAAGCTAACGCAATGAATGGGCTTTGTTAAAGGTAATGTTACAAGTTGTACGGGATCACATGGCTTTCTATTTGTTTCCGTCATGGTCTGCGAGTGCGTTGGATGCCTTATGCTGCCTAATCATGAAAATATGGAAATGCTAACAAAAATGGACACAAAAGGAACGCTGACGTCTGTACCGAATCCGAATATTCACGTCATCATGGGGAGCGTGTGAGGCGCTCTTGACCCACAGCGCGCGAACACTGAGGAATGGTTTACGGATATGCATTCCGTAGACACACACGAAAGCAATATGCATGTAAGTGACGCGGCGTTGACTTACTTACTCACATGCTGGCGATGTAGTGCACCTACCGTTAGTAGTGTGTATCTTTCATGCCAACGATGTCTTAGAGCAAAATAACTGGAAATAAAAAACCGGTGGACTGGTGATAAAACTAGAATCATCTTTCAGTGCGGTGTCACCGATCAACCGGTGATGAGGGTGCATACGGACGACTGCACGATGGAAGATACAAATACAACAATTGTCGACCTTTTGGTCTGGTAACGTCACTTTGTTTGGTAGTTAGCTTGGGACATGGTGTGGTGTCTATGTACGCCACACCGGAACCCCTGCAATGCAGTGCATTGCGGACAGTCGGAAGATGTATTGCACACCGGCAGCCGCGGACTGCATACAATAGTGATAGCGGTAAAACACGTGTTTACCCGTTGTTGTGAGATGGGCACCGCAGACCTATTATATGGTAGGTCCAGGTTACTATGCAATGATAGACAGCAATAAGAAGGACATTTGGTCTGCATGTGTAGTATTGAGCCTATGCGGAGTAGGTAAATGTAACTTACCGGTTAATGCATCGGTTATTTCCCGTTCATCGTTTCTGGTGCACTGGTTGGTGTTAAAATGCGCAATGGATAACACAATGAGTGATAAGTCGTAACCAAAGAGGTTTTTATGGACGTGGAAAAAGTGAGCTTGCAACTCTTATGTTGTTCGGAATTCCCTAGAAAGGTTACCACAGCAGTTTCACACAGTAAGCAAGTGGACTGTCCAGTACTTTACTCGGTGGACGATTACGGACCCACCCGCTGCAACTATGTCCCAGTGCTCCAACCTTTGCAAGCCGTCCGGTGTGTACATGGTGCTTGCACATGGGAGACGCAAGGCCAAAGGACCTCTAGGATACCCAGTGACTAGTGCGGTTACGACTAATACTGCCACAAGTAGATGCTCCCGCCTCCTGCCTGGCAGCCAAAATCCTATTTCACTGCAGCTAAATGTCATTAGAACAAGACAGCGAATGTTCGGTATGCAGTGCATCTTAATAGGCTTGCCCGACTAATGTCTGAGACAACCTTTCATTTGCCAATCGGAGGGGACGTTTGGTGCGCCTCCCGATAAAGTTCATGGAGAAACGACAACGTACCAAGGCATGAGAAAGGGCGACGCATGTACTCCAGTACGAGCGGCAATCTAGGATGAAACCACGCCACTTGTAACCGATGACCATGTGGTCAATTGGGTCTATCGCTGGCCAGCTACTGGAGGGCGCCAAGTAGCACATCGCCGCCCACTGTGCCGTAAAGCAGTGCTAATAAGAAACAACTGCCGCTCCACACACAATTGTAGGAGACGCTCGCCGTTGTCAGTCTGTTCAAAAGTTAGCGCATAATTACCACCCAGGTGAGCCTCTGAAGTGCATAGACGCCCTAACTGTG